AGTATCACTGACAGCTCCTCTGACCTCACCCTGACTAGCAGTGGGAGAATGCAAGACAGCGGAGGGAATGCATACAGGAGAACTTTCGGCCACGGGTAGTGCGCGAATGTGTCTCTTCCCAGTGGTGGCTCGTCCTGTTCCCTCAGAGAGAACCATAGGGGACACTGCGCGTTCACGCGTGACGCGAACAGGTCCACCTCGGCTCTCCCGAATTGTTCCCAAATTCGGAGAACAATGTCCGGGTGCAGACACCACTCGTCGTCTCGAGGACCCCCTCTTGACATGAGGTCTGCCCCTACGTTCAAGTAGCCCGGAATGTGTGCTGCTCTCAACGAGCGAAGGTGCTTGTGAGCCCACAGCCACAATTCCTCTGCCGCCCGATGGAGGGCAGGAGACCTGACCCCTCCCTGGCGATTTATGTGAGCCACTGTGGTCCGGTTGTCTGACCAGACCAGCACATCGCGACCCCGAAGGGTAGACGCGAAGTGGGTCAGAACCAGTCGAACCGTTTCCAACTCCAGGAGGTTGATGTGACGACCTGATTGAGGCCATGCACCTCCTATCGCTTGAGACTGACATGTCCCTCCCCATCCAGTCAGAGAGGCATCTGTAAACACTGGAATGTAGGATGACACCTTGCCCATCGGGACTCCGTGCGTGAGAACGCTCGAGTTCCTCCAATAGTCCAGGTCTGCTCTTAGCGAGAGAGGAACCACCACCAACCGATGACGTTGACGCACTGGGTCTAGTCTTAGTTGGGCGAACCACCGCTGTGTTCTGCGCATGTGCAGAAGTCCCAGCGGGACCACAGAGTGGGCTGACGACATGAGACCCAAAAGTGACATGATCGATAGCGCCGTTACTGTGTGATTCGGACGACACTTCCTCAGGGCCAGTAGTAATGCTGCCCTTCGAGGGTCCGAGATTCGAGCCCTCATCATTACAGTGTCTAGCTGTAGTCCCAGGTAGACAATCTGATGACTGGGCCAGGGTGCGCTCTTTTTCCAATTCACAGCGAACCCCAGACGCGTGAGATGAATCACTGTCTGTGTCGTGTGAGTGAACGCCAGCTCTGCTGACGGGGCGAGAACCAGCAGGTCGTCTAGGTAGGCTAATAGCCTTATCCCTTGACGACGCAGCGGCTCCAATGCCGCCTCCACACATTTGGAAAACGTTCGAGGTGCCAGGGCGTACCCGAATGGCATCCTCGTGAACTCGTACGCCACCCCTTGAAAGGCGAACCGCAGAAACTTCCTGTGACGCGATTGTATCGGCACATGGAAGTACGCGTCCTTTAGGTCTATGCTTGTACAAAAGTCCCCTTTCTGGACACATTCCAGTAGACGTTTTGTCGTCAGCATTCGGAAGGGCCGTTTGGTTATGCTCTCGTTGAGAATGCGTAAATCCAAAATCGGCCTCACTCCCCCCGTCTTTTTGGGCACTAGGAAATAAGGCGAATACAGCCCCTTGTTCCTTTGCTCTCGGGGAACTACTGTGACCGCCTCCTTCGCCAAAAGTTCCGTAATCTCTGACATCAGAGCGGCTACTTTGTCCGGCGTTTTCATCACCGTCTCCACCACTCCCCTGAACGGGGGTGGGGTCCGATGGAATTGGAGGGCATAACCCTTCTGCAACGTCTGTTCTAGCCAGCGTGAGAGGGTACAGCTTCGTTGCCACTGCCAGCAATGCAGAGAAAGCGGGCGCGCACGAAGCTGTGGTGCGTCCAGTAGGAAGGACCTGTATTCCTCTATGGCCCTCGCCGCCGCTATTCCCCAGCACTGGGTTGGTGGAATAGCCCAAGGCGGGCCCCCCTCGAAAGGGAGAGGAAACATCAGCTCGTTCTGAGTGAATCGGAGGCCTTGATACGTTAGTTACGACCGTAACTCCAGTAATCCGGCCCTCCGTGAACGCAGCACGGTTCTGAACTGCACTGGCTGAGGCATTGGCCTGAGACAGAGCGCTCTCCCCGGGTAGCAATTGCGTCATCATGTCATTGTCTGACTGAGACTGCTGCTTGCCATGAGACCCATCCATTGCAGTACTCCACAGAGTCTGAAAGGTGTGATCTCTGACTGGTACCACAAGGTGGTGCCACAATACCTCTTCACTGGTCTCATGCGGCTGCTCAACAGCACACTCTATGTGTGGTGAGCTGCCTTCAGAGCCATGGGCATTGTTACGTTCTGAATACACTGGGGGCGCCCATACATTGGTTACACCTGTAACTCTAGTATTCTCGCCCTCCTTGAACGTCGCATGGGTCTGATCTGCGCTGGCTGAGGCATTAGCCTGCAGCAAGGCGTCATTCCCAGCTAGCGGCTGCGTCTTCATGTCACATTGGGACAGAGACTGCTGCCTGTTGTGTGAGACCTTTACTACAGAGCTCCTAGGAGTCTGTAGTAAAAGGTCCTTATCAGGTGAGCTAAGGCTGCGCCTTGCTACCTTTTTCCCTTTCCTCTCCTGAGTGTGCTCAACTACGCACCCTCGGTGGGTTGAGCTACATTCAGGATGGTGAGAGAAATGTATAGAACGTGAAGTGTTCTGTAATGCGTTATGGAAGAAATGTCCTTCTTTGACAATGTCAGTGAGAACCAGCTCTTTATTCACATAATCACAAAACACTCCCTCCACGCCCTGAACAGTGGGGTGGGGGGGAACAGTAGGCTCTGTTGCTTCTCGCGCCGAGCCGTCATCCGTTCTCTCCCCCTCGCCTCGTCATAGGTGCCGCCTCTTCTGGGAGACCTTCTGGTGCTGCCAGGTCGGCTTGACGGTGACCTCCCTCGCCGGCGGAACCGTCGCTGCCACTGTCGCCGCCGGAGGGGCCGAGCCCGCTCGCTTGCCGCTCGTGGTGGACGCCTGTCGCCTGGCCCGCCGCCTCCCTGTAGATCTACTGGGGGCGTTGGAGGTGGACGGAATAGCTGGGGCTCTGCTAGCCTTCATCGCCAACGGCAGATGCTTGGCTAGGTGCTTCCTCTCCTCGTCCATTTTGGCGAACCGCTCTGTTGCCTCCTTCACAGCGACCCCAAAAAGGCCCTCGCTGGAGACAGGAGCGTTGAGCAGCGAGGCCCTGTCAGTCTCCTTCATGGCCGTCATGGATAGCCAGAGGTGACGCTCTGTGACCACCGAGGTGGCCATGGTCCTGCCTGCGCATATTGCCACAGCCTGTGTCAGGTGAAGGATGGCTCCGGAAATCCTGGACGCCTCCTCAATTTCCTCGCCGGTCAACTCTGACCTACCCGTTGTGAGACGGGATAGGGAGGCCGCGAGGAGGGCGATATTGTTCGCCGCTGACACGCTCTGGGCTCCTAGCGTGAAGGACTTCTCGGCCAGCTGTGCTGTAAGCCTGTCCTTCTGCGCTGGTAGAGTGGCCTTCTTGGAGGCTGCCCAGGGACTCGAACCCGGCACTAGATACGCCGTCATGGCGCCTTCGAGCCTGGGGATTCCCTTCGCTGCCCACTCATGACCGGCCACTCTGGTGAATGGGATGTACGCTCTGGCCGGCGAACGCGCCGCCAGAGGTGAGTCCCATGAGCCCTCGACATATTTGCCAAGGGAAGGCATGGCTGGAGCCATCGGCTCAGCCGCCTTCCTTGGCTTGGAGTAGGGGCCGCCCTCCATCAGATCCACTTCCACAGGGAGGGGAACTGGGGGCAGCGCTATCTCCAGTCGATTGGCAGCCTTCTCAATGAGTTCGGGAAAGTCCGAACGCAGAGAGGCCGCCGCGAAGGACAGGGCTTCTGACCTAACAGAGCCCGTGTCGTCATCGCCCAAGGAGCCCTCAGACCTCGCGCTTTCCAAAGGAAAGGGGGTCTTGAATGTCGGCGCCAGAGCTCCGGATTGTCCCACTGGGATATCCATCTCTGTGCCCTCCTCCTTGTCGTCCCCCGAGCCAGCACTGTCCGAAGACGCCCAACGCCGCTTCCTCTCCTTCCTAGGAAGGAGGGTGCAGGAGGCGCAATTAGGAGGGTTGTCGAGACCTTCCTTGGCGTGCTGCGGTCCCAAACACACGAAACAAAGGTCGTGGGGGTCCGTAGACGCCATGTCAGTACATCGACATAGAGCCCTGAAAAGGGCTTTTGGGGGTGGGAAATTTCCCGGCGTGCTCATGCTGGAAGACGTCGATGGCTGGATATCGACGGCGAGTTCTTCCTGAGTCTTCAATGCTTCTTTGCTTCTTCAGTTCTAGTCCAGTCGCTGAAGATAAATGGGAGGCAGATTGAGGGAACGGGTCCCTTCTTATAGGGGCACCTGTGCTCCCATTGGCTGCAGGTGTGTGCATAATTTTTGCTTCAGGCTGTTTCTGCCGTAGGGCAGAGGGTAAACCACTAGGAGCAGAGCTCCCCTATGGGGCGGAGCTCCACGATATAGAACTCTCTCTCACACACACACACACACACACATACATATATACACACACACACACATAAATCAGTACCATGGACAGCCACATCATATTTAGCTTACGTTGATTGAACTAAATTGTTTTTGGTATCTTTTAGTTGTATTAGACTAAGCATAGGTGATTAGATGATGTTGAAATGGTGTTGGAATAGTGGAAGCAGCTCCTGTTTTCTTTGCAACTTGGTAACTTACCTTTGTTCTAAAGCAGTAATTCTTTAGTAGTCTGAAAATGTCAGAAACATTACCTTGCTAGACCATGCTGTAGGTCATGTAACTGTTTGTTACATACAATATGCTTTATGGACTTCACCGGACAGAGGTTGCTCTCTGGTTTTGTGATGAAACAAAGTTGTGGTTGAATTTATTCTGCCACTGTGTCTTCTTATTGTCTCGGCCTTAGGCCTATATATCACAGTGGCAAGGCATATGAACTAGCAGGTTATAGAGCAAACAACGCAATTATCACAACACATAGGTTGTAATATGGCTTTTTTTCCCTGCCTTGGCTTCCCCAGTCATTTTACCGATGCACCACTACTGATGTCCATTTTTAACATAATCTCTTTATTTATTTATAGATGGCTGTCCTGGAAATCCAGGCTAATGGGGATGCTGTTGTGTCCAAGGAGGCCATCACCAACGCAGGCCAGTCTTTGGAGGATCCCCTCATGAGAGTGAGTCTCACTCATGTTTCCATTCATGGCCCAAATATAGCCAAGCAGCACAGTGGGCAAATGCACAAAAACACATCAGATTAAAACAAACACCTTGTCAATAGGGGCAGGAGTTTTCCCTGACTATGTGACCTGACTAAGAAACCAGATAGAGTTTTCCTTGTTACTTGACCAGAAAACCATCTGTTCAAGTTAAATCAAACTTCACATTTTAAATGGAATTTTACATACTTTACATTTATCAAACCCTAACCACTGCACTACATAGCTTTAACCTGGCTCCACTCCCTTTTGTAGGAGTTCACCCAGTCATGTGTACATCATGAAGCCAAGCAGCGGCCCACAGCCCACGACCTGCTATTCCACCGCGTGCTGTTTGAGGTCCACTCCCTCAAGCTTCTGGCTGCCCACTGCCTCATCAGCAACCAGTGTGAGTGTTTCCTCAGTCCTCAGCTTTGAAGCCCCAAAGCACACAGCACACAGCATGCTTTATGTGGAATTGCCATTTGAGTGATTCCTCACGAAACCTAGACAAAGAAATACCATGATTTTGGGGATGTTCACGACATTTCATCCATAGAATGGTCTTTTGGAGGATGGATTGTTGACATATATTTAATATTTGTATCTAAAAGCATAATTGAGAAATAAAACCAAAAAGGCAATATTTTGAATGTAGTAGTTTTTCACCCCCTCAAAGCTGTAAAAGAAAAAAAAACTTTGCAAACCACATGATCTAGTATATAATACAAGTATAATAAACCATATTCAAATATGATGATATCATAGTGAATTCATGACGTGAATGAGTAAGCCTTTTCATACTTTGTAATATTGATATATATATATATATATAGCCTTTTCATACTTTGTAATATTGATATATATATATATATATATAGTTACAATCAGTTTTCGGAACATCTACCCAAAATATTTCACCTTCTTAATTACTTTACCGAAAATAACATGAAATTAGTGATAGTCTAAAACAACATTTTGACCATTTAAACAGCGTGTGTCCACCCTATCGACAAGGGGAGATGCGCTGTGAAAAGGGCGCTTTTTCTTGGTTCTATTGATGTGTTTTGTGTCCGTCTCCGACATAAAGAAAGTTTGACTTCCACACAAAATTACTTCTTTACTTATTTTAGGTTTAAGGAAGTGTGTAAGTCGCATTCTTTATCATACAGCTATGACAGTTATATATTTAGAACCGCCTGCTTGATCGGGCACTGTCAAATTTGGCATATTTATTACATTTTGGCCTTACCCAGGCCTCCTTTTAGACTCCATAATGTTTCATTTATAAGTGCTACAAAGCAAAAATTGGTGTCATATGAAGCTTTACTGCTTGTTCTGTAATATGAGCAGTATTTTGATTTCAATAATAATTGTCCTACATTAATTTATGAATATTGAGAAATATGAATATTGAAAAAACTAATGTTTTTATTTAATAATTGTTCACTATATTGTTGAACATAATATACTCTATGGGCATATCACAGTTCCAGACTAGGATCTCTGCTAGTTTTAAAGTTATGGCCCATTTTATACAGAGAAATTGGCATAGGCAATGTAACCAATCACAGCCCTCCTTTTACTTGTATCATTGCACATCCTGCAAATCGCCAGTAGAGGGTGAACGTTTTGAATCCATTTTCATATTCACTCTGTTGGTAATGCTTACAAGTTGGATCATAATTGTAAAAGTAGCAGAGATCCCACTCTGGAACTTTAATATGCCCATAAAGTATATTATGTTCAACAATATAGTGAAATATTATGATCAAAAATGTTTTTTCAATATTTATGTTTATATTTTTCAATATTCATAAATGAATGAAAGAAAACAATTATCGTAATTAAAATACTACTCACATTACAGCAAAAGTGTTAAAGCTTCATATGACACACATTTTTGCTTTGTATCACTTACATATTAAACAATATGGAGTCTTAAAGGAGGCCTGGGGAAGACCAAAATGTCAGAACTATGCCAATTTTGATAAATGATTCCTCAATTATGCTTTTAGATACAAATGTCAAATATATATAAACATTTCTTCCTCCAAAGGACCATTCTTTGGATTACATGTTGTGAAAATCCCCCAAATCATGGTCTTTTATTGGTCTGGGTTTCATGAGGAATCACTAATACTTTTGCCTGGGTACCAGTCTGTTTGGCATGCCAAGGAGTGGTATGATGACACAAACAGAGTGGTATCCAGGCTAGCCATTTCTGTGGGAGAGAAAATGTTTCCACATCCATTTCCACATCCATTTCATTTTTTGTCATGTGACAGCTGAAAAATTGTCTTATGCAGATTTTGTGGGATATATCTGTTGTTACAATGGAAGTGGAGACATTTTTCTAATTAATTTGCAAATATGTAAAGCTCTCTTACCCCTCTCTCTATGCAGACCTGCTCCCAGAGAACTGTGTGGAGGAGAAGACCAAGTCCTTTGATCCCAACGGTCTCATGGCAGAGATCAAACATGGCGACCGGCCTGGCGTGGAGCTCAAGTACTCCCATGTGTCCCCTTTGGAGCTGGACAAGTTCCTGGAGGACGTCAAGTAAGGGCTAATTCCACTCACCCATTGGGCTCAGGTCAAAAGTAGTGCACTATGTAGAGAATAAGGTGCAATTTAGGACGTCGCCTGAGAGGACTGCCTTGTTCATTGTGAAGGGTCTTTGTGAAGTGTATTATTGTAGCACCTGTGGCTCCTGACTTCATTCTGACTCCCCCTCCTCAGGAATGGGATATACCCCCTCATGAACTTTGCGTTATCGCGGCCCCACCCCGTCCCCCATGCCCTCTCCCTGTCCCATGAACAGGTGGAGTCGGTGAAGACCCCCACCCCTGAGCCCCAAGAGACAGAGAGCAGAAAGGTGAGGTCTGTGTGTGTGTGTGTGTGTGTGTGTGTGTGTCTGTCTGTCTGTATCTCATTCTATTTGTTTATGTCTGTGTGTGAGAGACAGTGTTGCAAGTTAAAGTACGCTTATCACTCTTAACGCTATGTTGGTCTGATGGTGTGTTGCAGGTGATTCAGATGCACTGTAACTTGGAGTCAAATGAAGAAGGGACGAAAATTCATGTGAGTTTGACTATCATCTTCTTTTAAGTAATGGCGTCCATCTCACGGCAGCCTTTTGGAGTTACCATAACTGACATAATTGTTTTAATCCTTTCTGATCCCCACAACTAATTGCATTTGCGGGATAAGCATATTCTGGGTTGATAAAATGTATTCCTCTCTCCTCTCCTTAGCTCTCTCTGTTTCTTAAGATGGATGACAAGCTCCATCGACAACTCAGCTGTGACATCCTTCCAAGTGAGTTCTAATGGACACTTTCATATCCATTAATATAGTCAGGTCCCAAATTATTGCCACCCTTGATAAAGATGAGCAAAAAGTAAGTAAGTACAAATACTGAGCTATATTGTATGCTATATTTTTTAAACAATTATATTATAATAATACAATTTTTCTCAAAAAGATGTGTTAAAATTATTGCCACTCCTTTTTTCAATACCTCACTTTGCGAGGATAACGGCACTGAGCTTTTTTCTTAAATGTTTAATGAGATTGGAGAACACATTGGGAGGGATCTTAGAACATTCCTCCATACAGAATCTTTCCAGACCCTTGATATACTTTGTCTGCGCTTATGGACTGCCCTCTTCAATTCAAACCACAGGTTGGCCACAGGCCAAATAGCTAAATTTTAATGTCATCTGACCATAGCACCGGTTCTAATCCAAGTGCAAATACCATTTAGTAAACTCCAGGCGTTTACATTTGTTGGATGACAAGAAAATAGAGCTCTTTGGCACACCAACAGTGTTTATTGTATACTGTTGTATGAGGCTCAACTATTTTGAATGAATCTTTCAGATGACAGCTCCAAAGACCTTGCCAATGAACTTGTTCACTACGCATTCATAAGTGAGGTAGGTATTATTTTTGCGTGATGTTATTGCAAATGGCCTTAATCATTCTAATCGATATCCTGTAATGATCTAACCGCTAACCCTGTGTAACCCCATGCAGGAGGACTGTGAGAAGCTGGCAGGGTTCCTTGAGGATGCGCTCACCAGACACAAGGGCAAAGCGCTGGCCTCTGGAACCACACAGTGAGAAGGGTCCGCTATGAAAACTGGCTCACAGAGAGGGGCCTCAGGCATTGACCACTCGAACAGAGAGAGACAGGAGCCAGAAGGCAGGATCACTCAGCCAGGATCAGAGGGGCCGGGTCCAGTGAGGGTTTGAGGGATTGGGCCTGGTGATTGGGACTGGGCCTGATGATTGGTGGATCATCCCATAGAGGGCTAGGATAGGCCAGGACTGAGAGGGACAGGAAGCATCTTCGGTTGGAGGACCCATAGGCATCATGGCTACATTACATTTTGAAAGTATTCAGACCCCTTGACTTTTTCCACATTTTTTTTACGTTACAGCCTTATTCTAAAATCAATTAAATAAAAACATTTCCTCATCAATCTACACACAATACCCCATAATGACAAAGTGAAAACAGGTTTTTAGAAATATTTGCAAATGTATTAAAAATAAGAAAACATAAGTATTCAGACCCTTTGCTATTAGACTCGAAATTGAGCTCCGGCACATCCTGTTTCCATTGATCATCCTTGAGATGAGTCCACCTGTGGTAATTGGACATGATTTGGAAAGGCACACACCTGTCTATATAAGGTCCCACAGTTGACAGTGTCAGAGCAAAAACCAAGCCATGAGGTCGAAGGAATTGTCCGTAGAGCTCCGAGACAGGATTGTGTCGAGACACAGATCTGGGGAAGGGTACCAAAAAAAATTTCTGCAACATTAAAGGTCCCCAAGAACACAGTGGCCTCCATCATTCTTAAATGGAAGAAGTTTGGAACCACCAAGACTCTTCCTATAGCTGGCTGCCCGGCCAAACTGAGCAATCGGGGGAGAAGGGCCTTGGTCATGGAGGTGACCAAGAACCCGATGGTCACTGACAGAGCTTCAGAGTTCCTCTGTGGAGATGGGAGAACCTTCCAGAAGGACAACAATCTCTGCAGCACTCCACCAATCAGGCCTTTAGGGTAGAGTGGCCAGACGGAAGCCACTCCTCAGTAAAAGGCACATGACGGCCCACTTGGAGTTTGCCAAAAGGCACCTAAAGGACTCTGACCATGAGAAACAAGATTCTCTGGTCTGATGAAACCAAGATTGTACTCTTTGGCCTGAATGCCAAGCGTCACGTCTGGAGTAAACCTGGCGCCATCCCTACGGTGAAGCATGGTGGTGGCAGCATCATGCTGTGGGGATGTTTTTCAGCAGCAGGGACTGGGAGACTAGTCAGGATCGAGGGAAAGCTGAACGGAGCAAAGGACAGAGAGATCCTTGATGAAAACGTGCTCCAGAGTGCTCAGGACCTCAGACTGGGGCAAAGGTTCACCTTCCAACAGGACAACGACCCTAATTACACAGCCAAGCCAACGCAGGAGTGGCTTCGGGACAAGTCTCTGAATGTCCTTGAGTGGCCCAGCCAGAGCCCGGACTTGAACCCGATCTAGCGTCATACCCAAGAAGACTCAATGCTGTAATCTCTGCCAAAGGTGCTTCAACAAAGTACTGAGTAAAGGGTCTGAATACCTATGTAAATGTAATATTTCTGGGGGGGGGGTTTTTTATACATTTGCAAAAAATTCTAAAAACCTGTTTTTACTTTGTCATTATGGGGTATTGTGTGTAGATTGATGAGGAGTAAAAACGATTTAATCCATTTTAGATTAAGACTGTAACGTAACAAAATGTGGAAAAAGTCAAGGGGTCTGAATACTTCCCGAATGCACTGTATGTTCACAATGCAGTGGAAGATTGATAAGTACCCCTGCCTAAAAGTGATGTAATGCCTTAAAATGTCTTCATGACTTTGTTCCTCCATAATGCCACTACTATTACAGTACTGCCAGTAGAGATATTTCCAATGATGGATGGACATAGCTGTTTTATTGGTTCGTATTGAATTAACTATGTTTTCATGTTAATTTACAGTACTTTAATTCATAGTTTATGACTCCAGAAATTGTAATCGTTTTTGGAAAATAATATTTAAAAAGTTGAATTTTTATAAAATATCTCGCTAGTTTTATAAGCCCCAGCAATACCTACCGTATAAATGTCTAGTGAAAGCAACTTTAATGACAAAGATGATGAGAACCGTCCAACATGCACTGGTAATGCTAAACATGCTAACACTTAAGTTAACTTGTTTATTTTTGCTTAGTTCTATGAACAGCATTGGCCTTGCACAGACCTCTTTTTCTATTTAAGTTTTAATGGTGTATAATGGTCTTCAAACAAACTCGCAGTGCATTCTACCAATCCTTTACTAGCCTCAATGACTCTCCATGCATTAGTAGTAACGAGCAATGAGATGATGCCTCTCTTTTAGTCTGTAGTGCTCCTAAGGGTTTTCCCTGTGAAAGTGTTCTGAAAGCCAAAGACTTGCAAAGTGGCTGTGATGGCAACCTACCATGTACAAAACCCATAATACATAACTACACAGCAACATAAAGCAACTTCAGAATAATATGAAAAATGTATCCAGACAGTCAACGATTCAGACTATTGGGTTGATGTCAACAGAATGCTTTTTATTTTACTTTATTCTGAAAACCAGATTGTGAATGTGAAGAGGGGCCACAGCTTGTATCCTAGAAATGTTTAAATCCATTCTAGAAAAGGAATTGCAGCTAAACACAGAGTATATGTGTACTTAATATAGTGAATATACTCCACTTCAATTGAGCCATTTTAGAACAAGAATATAAATGGAGTGTTTTCATAAATAGTTCAGAAGAAATAAAGGCCAGAATCAAAATAATTTGGGAGCAATCAATTTCTGGTTTACTGAATGATACAGATATTGTATCTTAATTTGATCATTCTGTTGTCGCTGACAATTTTCCTGCACCACAGGAAATTCAAATGAGAATTCACTGAAAACCCGCAGTTCTCTCGCTCAAACGTTAAAGCACCAGATATACATTTATTACTGCGACATTCAAATGTAGCCATATAAATTTACATCAACAACTGTCATTTTCTATAACTTAATAACACAAGATGGATATTGGTCTCCACTACGACATACAAGTGTATTTGAAATTTAGCCGTAGGCTACACCTAAACTATAGCCTACTGTAGCCTATCAAAACTAATTTCCCATTGGAAATGATCCTTTTTTAATTATCTTAATCAAATCCTCCTGCTGCAGGATTATTTTACTCTTGAGACAAAACTGGTCAAATTAAGATCCTACATTTGTATAACAACTGCAGTACACAACACAAAAAAGCATTAGGTTGAAGCTGAATTCTGCGTTAATAAATGTGTTATTTAGCCTTTATGACCACAGATCCCTAATCTCGGTTAACCCATTAGTCTATCCACGAGAGATTAACAGATCCCCAATGCCTTTTTTAAAGAAAGCAAGAGTCAAGTAATAAAGCTAGTAAAGGGAATTTGGTCTAAATGGATTTAGTAAATGATGGATGGCTTTAAAAAGTTGCCAGTGTTTTTAGGGAGGAGAAAAAATTACTTTTCTTAATCAATCTTGAACAGTATATTATATTATTCAGTATCTGCATCTGTTAACAATACTACATTTGTTTCTTATGCTATCTGTAAAGCTGTGGTCCCATTACAATTGCAGTCCTGTATAGATGTTGCATAATATGCTGATTGCTCTTAAAATGTCCAGCCTTTTATCAGCTAGTCTCTTGATGGAAAACTCTTCTCCCAGAAATGTATCTGTAGAATATGGTGTAGATAAATGTGTGTGTTCAGAGGTGTTTACCTTGAACAGAAGTGTGAATGCTCAGAGTGGTGGTACTGTTGCTCTTATCTGGTCTAGTAGTCTGCAATGCATGTCTTAATAATAGCTGAAACTGTTCAGACTTTGCTTTTCCAAGATTGCCTTAGTCATTGACAGAGCTCCATTGACTGAGTCCAGGGGGGACCTGATCAAGAAAAATGAATGCCCATCCATCCATCAGTCTTTTTCTGTAGTGAACACTTTCTCCTCAGTCTGGATTCTGTTGAATTAATGTTGGCTCTGTGTTGTACTGGACGTGTTCTACTTATCCTTCTGAAAAATTATTGTACTGCAATGAATGACAATAAAACAATGTGATGTCACATCATGGTGAGACTGTTTGAAGATTAAAATATATATATATATATACACTACCAGTCAAAAGTTTGGACACACCTACTCATTAAAGGGGTTTTCTTTATTTTTACTATTTTTTACCTTGTAGAATAATAGTGAAGACATCCAAAACTATGAAATAACACATATGGAATCATGTAGTAACCAAAAAAGTGTTAAACAAATCAAAATATATTTTATATTTGAGGTTCTTCAAATAGCCACCCTTTGCCTTGATGACAGCTTTGCACACTCTTGGCATTCTCTCAACCAGCTTCATGAGGTAGTCACCTGGAATGCATTTCAATTAACAGGTGTGCTTTCTTAAAAGTTATTTTGTGGAATTTATTTCCTTAATGCGTTTGAGCCAATCAGTTGTGTTGTGACAAGGTGGGGGGGAAATGTCAAGAACTTTGAACGTTTCTTCAAGTGAAGTCATGAAAATCATCAAACGCTATGAAGAAACTGGCTCTCATGAGGACCGCCACAGGAATGGAAGACCCAGAGTTACAGTGGCTTGCAAAAGTATTCCCCCCCTTGGCATTTTTCCTATTTTGTTGCCTTACAACCTGGAATTAAAATTGATTTTTGGGGGGTTTGTATCATTTGATTTACACAACATGCCTACCACTTTGAAGATGCAAAATATTTTTTATTGTGAAACAAACAAGAACTAAGACAAAAACTGAAAATTGAAGCGTGCAGAACTATTCACCCCCCCAAAGTCAATATTTTGTAGAGCCACCAAGTCTCTTGGTGTATGTCTCTATAAAGTTGGTACATCTAGCCACTGGGATTTGTGCCCATTCTTCAAGGCAAAACTGCTCCAGCTCCTTCAAATTGGATGGGTTCCGCTGGTGTACAGCAATCTTTAAGTCATACCACAGATTCTCAATTGGATTGAGGTCTGGGCTTTGACTAGGCCATTCCAAGA